AGTATTAGCATATTAGATCCAATAATATTTTTTAACGTATTACATCATGACAAAGGACACTTCATTACAGGAAATCAATGATGGCTTAAAATTAAAAGATATTTCATCTCAGCCACAGTTCAAAGAAGAAAAATAAAAATTATTTAAATATATAAGAACTAATAAAATTAAAATTTTTATGATTTTAAAACATAAAATGTATGCTTATGAATTTTTAATTTTTATCATTTTTAAAAGCTATTATCAAACCATTAGAAGATGAGACCATCCTTAACCTAATAAAAAGCATCTACCAAAAAATAATAGCAAAGTTCACAATTAAGGCTTTAATAGCATTTTCTTTCAAGTGAAAAACAGTACAAAGATAATCTTAACATAATGTCTATACAAGTTTGTCCAGTGTCTAAGTAAAGTAAAAAGGAAAAAATAAAAGATTTAAAAACCAGGAAGAGAGAAATTAAATTATCACTAGGTACATGGAGAAACCAGAACCATATTCCTAAATCTGTGAAGTGTGGTAGGCTTCAAAGGCAGCACTGTAGATGGTGCTCAGTAAGCAGCACTGATACAATGGGAGCTCCACCTCACACCTCACACAAAAGTAAGTTCCAAATATTTAAATGAATTTTAAAAGAGGAAAATATTTTACAATCCTGGAGTAACACATATTGCTTAAATAAGACTCAATAACCACAAACTGTAAGAAAAAGATTGTTAAGTTGACTACATTAAAATTAAACATCACAGGGCTGGCGCTGTGGTGTAGTAGGCTAAGCCCCACCTGCAGGGCCGGCATCTCTTATGGGCACTGGTTTGAGTCCCGGCTGCTCCACTTCTGACCCAGCTCTCTGCTGTGGCTGGGAAAGCAGTGGAAGATGGCCCAAGTCCTTGGGCCCCTGCACCCATGTGGGAGACCCAGAAGAAGCTCCTGGCTCTTGGCTTCAGATCAGCCCAGCTACAGCCACTGGGGCCATTTGGGGAGTGTACCAGCGGATGGAAAACCTTTCTCTCTGTCTCTCCCTCTGTCTTTCTTTAACTCTACCTCTCAAATAAATAAATAAAATATTTTTAAAAATTAAATATCTGCTCATCAAAACATAATTTTTAAAGGATAAAGAATAGAGGGCCGGCGCCGCGGCTCACTAGGCTAATCCTCCGCCTAGCGGCGCCGGCACACCGGGTTCTAGTCCCGGTCGGGGCGCCGGATTCTGTCCCGGTTGCCCCTCTTCCAGGCCAGCCCTCTGCTGTGGCCAGGGAGTGCAGTGGAGGATGGCCCAAGTGCTTGGGCCCTGCACCCCATGGGAGACCAGGAAAAGCACCTGGCTCCTGGCTCCTGCCATCGGATCAGCGCGGTGCGCCGGCCGCAGCGCGCCGGCCGCGGCGGCCATTGGAGGGTGAACCAACGGCAAAGGAAGACCTTTCTCTCTCTGTCTCTCTCTCACTGTCCACTCTGCCTGTAAAAAAAAAAAAAAAAAAAAAAAAAAAAAAAGGATAAAGAATGGGACACAAATAAAACCCAAAATATGTAAAGAACTTCTATGAAGTTTTAAAAAGGACAACCCAGAGAATAAACGGACAAAAATTCAAGAACACAATTTATAGGAGGAAACATAAATAGCCAAAAAAAAGACAAAATAAATCTTCAAACTCACTAGTAATCAAGGAAATGCATATTGAAACAGTGAGCTATTTCATACCTACCCAACCAACAACAATTAAAACATCTGTAGATAACAAAGGATTAATAAGACATAAGGAGACAAATCTTTGGTAAGGAATTTGACAACAGCTATGAGGTTACAATTGTGCCTAGTATGTGACTCCCAGTCCCAACCCTAGATGTACACGTGGTCCACTTTCTCCCAATTGTTTAGCACAAAGAAAAGGTGAGCCAGTGGGATGAGGCAATTAGCAGGGGTACAGGCTGAGCAGGCTGCTCAGGGGAAGACAGGAAGTAGGATTCAGGCCAAATAAAAAAACATCAGATGCCAGACTTGTCTAGGAGGTGAATCTGGTGATTAGAATCATCTTTGTTGGGAGCAAATTCCCCCTAAAAATCAAATCATTTTAGCCACTAAAACCAATATAATCAAGTTAACATGATCCTTATACTTTTCCACTAAGACTGTCTAAAACAGAGTCCCAACTTGTATCCATTTCCTCTTCCTATTGGCTCAGCACAACAAACATGGCCCTTCTGGAGGTCAGAAACCTGACACTGGTCTCACTGGGCTAGAATCAAGGAAAAAACCTTCTTGTCTTTTTCTGTGCTCCTTTCTGAGCACACACAGAAAGAATCCATTTTCTTGCCTTTTCCAGAGGTTCACGACTCCCTTCTAGCAAGTGTGGTTAGAGTCCTTTTCATCCCACATCACTCTGACACTGCCTCTTCTGCCTCTCTTTTCCACATTTAAGGAACCTCGTTACTTGGAGCCACTCAGATGATCCAGGATCTGTTAGCAACCTTCACGCCATCTGCTACCATAATTCCCTTGCCAGGTACTGTACAGAGTCGTGACAGTTTCTGGGGATTCGAACATGGACAGCCTTCAGAAGCCACTTTTCTACCTACCACATAAACTCTCCCTACCCCGCCACACACACACTCCAACAGGATCCTAACCATTTCACAATGTCCCCCAACCTCAAGTAGAATCCCAACTCCTCCCCTCTGCCCCCATACACACCTCCAGGTGCCACACTACCACATACTCTTTCTCCAGTTACACCAAGCTACTTGTCTTTTTCTAATCAATATATACTTATCTAAGCCCAAACAATTACAACTCACTCTCTAGGGCTCAGCCCAAAGGCCACCTCATCTCTGAAGCTTTCTCTGATCCAAGCCTAAACGAATCACTCCTCTTCATACACTCTTCAGGCTTCCTGTCTACAAGCTACAGCATGTGCACCCCCAGAACCATCCACTTACATGTCCTCTCTTCACTCTGAACTGGTAAGCCCTTTAAGAATAAGAAGTCTGGCTTACATCCCATGAGTTCCCAGAGAGCAGGCATTTAGAGAGCATTTCTGAAGCCTGGAAGAGGCAGAAGGGAGCTTTCCTGAATTTCTTTCAACAAAAAAGATTTCAAAGAGTAATCTGAGTTAAGTATACAACAAATGGGACCAAAGAATTAATTCAGGATGATCCAAAACATCTAAACAATTCATTTCTTAGGTTGATGCCCAAACTAAAATCACATGAAAGAATCTGTACAAGTGAAACACATTATTTTTCACTGCTAACCTGCAGGACAATTTTAAATAAAAATTAATGTCAAAATTAATCCCAAGAGAAATAAAGGATTAATATAAAATGATTTACAAAATGTCCTCAATATTAACAAAAGAATAGATGTTGCTCACAGGAATGCCTGGCAATCACGCAACAGTGCACAGCACATACTAAACCCCTCTCCAGGAAAAGTTGGGAACGGCATGCCAGAGTGCGAGGGGTGCTACAATCAACCCTGTTTAGGGACAAGTTGTCCCTGTGTACACGCAGAGGTATATCTTATTATAAAGTATACTTTTGCAAGAGGGTGGTTGCTTAGAAAGCGAAGTCTCATGTAACATCAATGGTTTGATACTTATATCCATGCCCTAGGGAAAAAAAAAAAAAACTTCCCACCTGGAGAGGAGAAAAACCAAGCAAAGGAAACAGACCATTAAGTCAGCAAAATTATTCACTTTTTTAAAATGAAACAATTAGGGGTCAATGCTGTGGTGTAGAAAGTAAAGCCACTGCCTTGGTTGCTGGCATCCCACATCAGCACTGGTTAAGACTCCGAGCTTCTCTTCCCATCCAGCTCTCTGCTATGGCCTGGGAAAACTGTGGAGAATGGCGCAAGTGCTTGGGCACCTGCACCAACATGGGAGACATGGAAGAAGCTCCTGGCTCCTGGCTTCGGATCTGACCAGCTCCAGCCGTTGTGGCCATTTGAGTAGTGAACCAGTAGATGGATGATCTCTCTTTCTCTCTGGTGCTTGCTTTCTCTCTCTCTCTCTCTCTCTCTCTCTCTCTCTTTCAAATAAATATATAAATCTAAAAAAAAGCTTCAAAGAATTTTTTAAAAAGAAACAATTATATGGCTCGAGTATTTCAAAGGTTTGCTCAGCTCAGGTTCAATAAAACTTCCCTGTTCAATTTTCTTTTGATAATGTGAATGGCCAAATTAATTTGAAAACATGCACCAAAAATCACTCTAACACTGAAAATGAAGTCTAAAGTGAAAAAAAAAGGAAATATTTGTACAAGACCAGGTTCAGCACCATGGACAGAGGGTCCAGCCCTGCCTATTTCTAGAGTCCTTGCCACCAAAGACTGGGAGCTTAGAGACACCAGAGCTGCCTAGAAAGCCACAGTATCCACTCTAATGTTTAACTTGTGATAATTCCAAACACAAGCAATTGTTTTTTGTTGCTGCTGAACTTGTAGCCCAAAGCACCAGCATTCTTCACCAAGGGGATGTACAACTTGGCCTGAGACCTCTGTGAAAACATGAATGACTGCCACTGACACAAGCCTAGAGGTCCAGGAACTAAGACATTGAAACTGACACACAGGGTTCAACCTTGACTGGCTGGACTGTTTCAGGGCCCTCATGGGATTCTCCCAAATTTATAAATGCAGCATGCTTCCAACCTCTCTCCAACAGTACAGAAAAGGACAGCTCTTTTAAAACAGCTGATAAAATGTACCCATGTGTTGAGCTTTTCCCCCATAAATAACCAAAATGTAACCATGAAGCTGTGTGGATTTTATGTCTCTATTGCTTCTTGGCAAAGTGATGTTCTGGGGCTCACTATCACCACTAACCAGAATCACCGGTGGTAACACCAGTCACAAAGCCCTGAACTCTAGACAGGTGCCCCACCTTTCCAGTGATAAAGACTTCATTTACCATCATATATCCTTTTCGAAACCATATAAAATTGAGAGTCAACTAAGAAAGTCTATAAAGTTATTATCAGTTCTAAAACCCTTGTAATGAACGTACTTGGAAAACACAACAGTGTCCAGATACAAACTTTCTGAAGTGAAAGATGCCAGTGCTGAGTGACTGCACGTGCGCTGGAAGCTTCCCGCGGTCCTCCAGGTCGGAAACACCCTGGAGGGCGGCTCCAGCTCTCGGAACGCAGGGCTTAATCCCTTCCTTTCGCTCCTCGCTATTGATCGCCCCAGAGTGCCACTGTTCTGCACACGTCTCTCTGGGCCAAAATGAACAGCTTTGAGAAGTTTTAAGGTGATGAATTGCTCTTTATGGTGGCCTGGGATCGGGTCTCTTCAACAAGAAAGCAGCCCGCACACTTCCTGTGGGGCCCACATCTGCCAATTCCAAAGAACAGAAAGGTGGCCACGGCTTGCTCGGAAAAGCCAGTTAGTTCAGTGCGGGAGGGCCGCGCCCGCTAGCCGGGTCTGCCCGTTACCCGGCCCGCTCTCAAAGGGCCCTCGGGCCCCGCTGAGGCTCACGCTGCAAATCCTCCTCAGCCGAGACCTGCCGGCCTGCGTTGCCAATCTCCCGTGCGAGCAACGAACTTCAGAGTACGAAGGCACGGGGAAACAGCCCAGCCAAAAAGGAGAAGGCGACACTTCCAGGCAGAGCACTTGAGGCGACCACGAGAAACGTCACGACCACCCCCCAGAAACGCCGACGCCGCCCAGAGGGCCCTGCGCCGCCCGCGTGCCCGCCCCGACTCTGGCCGGGTCACCTCGGGGCCGCGTCCGGGCCCGGGGGACACGGCAGCGCAGCGCCCCGCGCCCCCAGACCCTCTCCTCTGTCAGGAGACGAAACCTGCGCCGTCCGACAAGGGAGCCTCGGCGTCCCGAGCGCGCGACACCGCCGCTCCGTCTCCGGCCGGCGACTTGCGGATCGGGCGCCGCGGCCAAGACCCTCCGACGTAGCCTCTGCCAGCTCGAGGCCCGCGCCCGGGTCGCCGCGCCCGGCGCGCCCTCTGTCCGGGAGCCCCGCCGCGCGCCCTCCCGGGGTCCGCGCTCCCCACCGCAGACCCCGCCCGCTGCCCGCCCGGACACCTGCCCGCGCCCCGAACCCTCGCCTCCCTCACGGGACCCCCGCCCGCCGCGTCGGAAGGAGTTTGTCGGGGCCCGCGGGGTCCTCCCGTCCTCCAGCCCCTCACAGGGGGCTCGGTCCGGCACGCGGATGCGGGGCGACCCAGACGCGAGTCCCGGACCCCGACCCTGGCCCGGCCCCGCGACTCCCCACTCACCCGTCCCGCAGCGGACGGCGAGAGCCCGCCGGCCGGTGGAGGGCGGCCGGGTGGGGCAGAGGCAGGCGCGCGAAGCGGCGGCCCGAGCCTGAGGCGGCTGAGGAGCCTGAGGCGGCTGAGGACTCGCGCTCCTGCCCGAGCCCTGCGCGCGGCGCGGGACCGCCCCCTCCATACCGAAGACCAATCCCGCGCCGCCCGCCGCCGCTGGCCACGCCCCCACACAGGGGCAGGGCCGGCGAAAGCGGGCGTCGGGGACCAATAGAACGGCGGCATGGCTATTGGCGTAGCCAATCCCAACGTGAGAAGCGTTCTGGCAAAATGCCAATGAGAGTCGACGAGGAGGGCGGTGGGGCCGTAGGCGGGACGAAGGACTTAGTCCTATGGCGGAGCGGGCGGAACCGCACTTTGGGGCGGATTGAAGGCTGGGCCTCGGGAGGACGAACCAAGGAAGTAGCGGGGGCGGAGCCTTGAGTGGAAGCTAGGGCGGGGCCACGCGTGGAGGCGGGGCCGGGGCCGGGGCCGGGCCTGGCCGCCGCGAGGCAGCCTGTAGGAACCGCGGATGACCTGGGGGAGGAGCCGGGGGCGGGCCCTGGGCTGGGGGCGGTGCCGGGCGGCGCCTGCGGTCCCAGCCTGGTTCGCGCGGGCTCGCGCTGCAGTTCCCTCAGCGGGCTTGGGTTGCGAGCCCAGGGCCGTGCGGCCGGGGTCCCGGAGCGGCCAGCTGCACGCGAGCCCGCGGGGCCTGGCCCAGCCTGGAGGCCCGCTGGCCCCCGCCGCTGCAGGGCGAAGTTGGACGGCCCTCCCGCCGCCCGGGGGCCCTGGCTCCGCGCCCCGTCTGCGCCCTTCCGCCCGGCGGCCTGCCGTCCGGACCCTGCAGGTGCCTGGTGCGCTGCACCTGTCCGCGGGTGACTCGAGGACGGTGACGGGGCTGGCCTCGGGACGGAGTCGTTTTCGTGAAACTGGACTCTTGGTCTGCGCGAGTGGCCTCTCCCCGCCCCGGCTAGTCTCCTCCAGCGCAGCGGCAGGCGAGCAAGCTTGGAGCCGGGGTAGGGTCGGCCGTGCCGCCCGACGTCTCCGCGACCGAGGCCCCAGGACCCTGGAGAGCCCGGGCAGGGCTTGGGACCGGCCTGGGACCCACGGGTCGCTCATGGGAGGGCCCCGTTAGGGCCGGGGGGTCGAGCGTTTCCCAGGCGCCCCTGGTGAACCCGCCCCTTCGTCTTCGTCGGTAAAAGGTGGGCGGGGCGAACCTCAAACACTTGGGCCCACCAGTGGCTCACCTGGGCACCACGAAGTGCCTGAACTTTGGCAAGGTGCACCCACCGCTGCCCGTGTCCCAGCACCTGGAAGACCCCAGTCTCTGCAGAGGCCGTGGGGCAGGCGGATCAGGACACAGAATCTGTGGGATCCACCTGGAGAGGGAAAGTCCTGGACGGTCCATACCACAGGCTGGCAGCAGTCACCTGGGATGGGGGCAGGATGGATGGTCATTGGTCTCCAAGTGTCACGGGTGTGACTCAAACATCCTTAAAAACCAATGGGCCTGGCCTGGGGGAGCGGAGGCTGCCACCCGACCCTTCAGTGGAGGGACAGTGTGCCAAGGGGTGGCAGAGGCAGAGTCCAGGGACCTCATCTCGGGAACACGGGGACACGTGCCCACCCTGAGCTTTGGGGAGGGCCTTTTGGAGAGCGGTGGCTGCCGCCGTCACAAAGCTGGAAAACAAAGGGTGGAGGGCATCCCTCAGGACTCTGGGACCGAGGCCACAGGTGTCCAGCGTCCCAGCGGCCTGGCTCTGCCTGGGACCCTGTCCTGGAGGGCAGAGCGGGGGCGGGGTCTCAGTGCTCCAGATGGCAGGCTGCCTGCCCCCCACTTCCTGGCCTCCCCAGGAGCTGCGCCCTCTCAGCTGCCTCCACCGCGCCTGAAAGACACAGTTAGTCATTAGGGAAGTAATGACAGTGTTTGCAGGGCAGCGCATTGGACCCTAACAACTCCCAATTATTTCCAGTTCCTGCCAACCCTGACAGTGAAACAGCCGCACATCTCATGCCCCGCCCTTGACACACAGGACTTTCACGGGGCGGGGGGGGGGGGGAGTGACGTCAGCAGCCCTCCGGGTGTCGGGTCCTCGCAGATCCTGGAGCCCGCGTCCGGCGCCTCCACCTTCCGTTCACACTGCCCTCACGGCCACTGTCAGCACAGCCCTTCCGGGATGCTGGTGCCCAGGGGCGCGTGTTTATACATAGCTCCGCGGCGTCTCCGTGGGGGTGTGGCGGGGAGGGACCGAGCCTTGTAATTATCATCTGCTGGATGATGTCAGATCAGGCACTGGGAAGTCTCCGAGCACCAGGGCTCCCGACTGTCACATCCGTCCCTGCACCAGAGGGTGGGAGGCTGGGCATGTCAGGCTGGGACATCTGGTGGGTGGGGGTGGGGAGCCTTCTTTGATGCCTGTTAGAGGCCGAAAGTGCCAGGCTAATAGTTGCACAAGAGAGCACTCACCGCAGGAGAGGTGTGGGCCTCCCCAGGCAGCGCGGCCCTTCCACGCCACATTCCCGCAGCCCTGGAGGGAGACCCGGCACACCGGTGAGAGCCGGGGAGAGGGCCCAGCCTCTACTGACCCTCAGCAAGGCCAGCCTCAGACTCCTTCCACCATCAGAGCTCGCAATGCCACCACCACCATCCTCACAGTAGTGGCAAGTCTGTAATTCAGGGACCACGCACGCGATGCCACTAAAATCCTCTTCAGGAAGCAGTGACAGGAGGCCCTGCCCAGGACTGGTTCCTGGCTCCAGCCTTGCACAGCTCAGCTGTTGTGGGCATTTGGGGAGGACCAGTGGGCATCCACCACCATCTCCACCGAGCCCCCTGTGTGTACTCGGGCGGCTGTCATTTTTCCTGGAGAGCTGAGTCTGCACGGTTTGGGCCTGTGCCACAGCCAGGCACCATCTTGTACTGGCTGCCCTGGCCAGGGAAACGAAAAGAAACAAAAGACGCTCCAAACTTCCATTTCCTCTTTAAAAAATTTTTTTAAAAAGTTTATGTATTTGAAAGGCAGAGAGGTCTTCTATCCAGCGGTTCACTCCTCAACAATTGAGCTGTGCTAAGCCAAATCCAGGAGCCAGGAACTCCACCTGTGGGTGGCAGGGACCTAAGTCCTTCGGCCATCACCCACTGCCTCCCAGGGTATACATTAGCAGAAAGTGGGACCCAAACCAGAGGTGGACCCCTTCCCAGGCACTTCCATATGGGAAGTGGGGACCCCAAGTGGCAGTTTAACCTGGCGCACCACGCGGCTGGCCCGGTTCCCTGCTTTTCAGCATCAGACCTGATGCACATGCACCTGACCTAACTTACCAGCTTTCTGTTGCACTTGCTTGTCCTTTAATTGGGCGGGGCAACTGGGGACCTCCTGCCATGCCCTCCCTACTCCAGCCAAAGGGACCGCTGCTACAGTCAGCAGCCCACGATGCATGTGGAGCTGGTGGCTGTGGACAGCCAGGCTGCTGTGGTACCCCCAGGTGGGATGTGACCACTGAACAGTCAGGGCCACTTCCTGGACAGGTGCTTCAGAAAGATGGACATGGACAGAACATGCATAAGAGGCACAGAGGGCCGGCGCCGCGGCTCAATAGACTAATCCTCCACCTTGTGGCGCCGGCACACTGGGTTCTAGTCCCGGTCAGGGTGCCGGATTCTGTCCTGGTTGCCCCTCTTCCAGGCCAGCTCTCTGCTGTGGCCCGGGAGTGCAGTGGAGGATGGCCCAAGTGCTTGGGCCCTGCACCTGGCTCCAGCCTTTGGATCAGCGTGGTGCACCGGCCGCAGTGCGCCGACCACAGCGGCCATTGGAGGGTGAACCAACGGCAAAAGGAAGACCTTTCTCTCTGTCTCTCTCTTCACTATCCACTCTGCCTGTCAAAAAAAAAAAAGAGGCACAGAGGAAGGGGCCTATGGTGGCGTGGTGGCAGCACCCCTGGTGAGAACTCACACACTCTGCTGTTCGGGACTGGCAGGTTCACCAGACCCAGTGAAGCCCCATTTCCCAAGTGTGCTGTTTCTGCTTCCCTGTGAGTCTCCGGACAACCTCATGCCCAGGCAGGCCTTTCAGCACCCTCCCACTGACCCCGCACACGAAGAGCAGGGTCAGCCCCTGCCCTGCAACCCGCAGGTGGCTCCGCTGATGCCAGGGCTGGCTCGGGTGTTTGCCTTTTATCTCAGGGACAGGAAGCAGACCAGACCAGGCACGGGAGCAGACGGCTCTGAACCCCAGAGGGGAACCTCTCCTGGGAGTGAACAGGAGTCCCACATCTACCAGCCCCTGCACCCCTCTGGTGGGCTGCCCTGGGTGAAGAGTAAAAGAGGCACAGGGTCTCTAAGTCTGACTGTGCAGAAGAGCCCAGGGCCACCCCAGGTGCCCTCGTCATCCCCAAGGTGTTGCAGACAAGGAGACTCAGGGAGGAGAGAGCAGGAGGAATCTGTCACCACACCCGCACCCTCCCCCCAGGGCTAAAAAACTCCCGTGGCCACCACGGGAAACTGTGACTGTCCAACAGGGCTGCTGCCGGCCACTGGCTCTGGCTATCGCCCATGGTGATAACATGGGGGGGAGGGGGGAGACTCCACAGCCAGACAGGTTTATTTGGAGACAAACCTGAGAAGGACCCCTGCAGGGAGGGGAGGACACA